TGCTAGGATTACGGGCATGAGCCACTGTACCTGGCCATCTCACTGCTTTTAATTGGCAACTCTTTTTGTACATTTTCTGGCGGTTTGGATTTCCTCTTTGAGGAAGTAACTTGTTTAGGACTTTTGTCCATTTTTCTATTAGGTTATATGTCTTTATTAAAAAAAAAACAGAGATGGGGGTGGGCTCAGTGACTCACGTCCTGTAATCCCAGCACTTTGGGAGGCTGACGTGGGCAGATCACAAGGTCAGGAATTCAAGACCAACCGGACCAATATGGTGAAACTCTGTCTCTACTAAAAATACAAAAATTTAGCCGGGCGTGGTGGCAGATGCCTGTAGTCCTAGCTACTTGAGAGGCTGAGGCAGGAGAATCGCTTGAACCTGGATGTGGAGGTTGCAGTGAGCCAAGATCGCACCACTGCACTCCAGCCTTGGTGACAGAGTGAGACTCCATCTCAAAAAAATATAGAGACAGGGTCTTACTGTAGCAATAGACATGTTGGCCAGGCTGGTCTTGAGCTCCAGGGCTCAAGCAATCCTCCCACCTTGGCCTCCCGAAGTGCTAGGATTACAGATGTAAGCCACCATATGTGGCCTCACAATTAAACCTATTATCCACCAAGAATTTATTTTTGTCTACCATATGTATATTTTTTGAGACAGGCTCTCCTCTGTCACTTAGGCATGATCATGGCTCACTGCAGCCTCGACCTCCTGGGCTCAGTCTCAAGTGATCCTCTCCCACCTCAGCCACCTGAGTAGCTGGGGCTACAGGCACCTGCCACCACGCCTGACTAAATGTGTATTTTTTGTAGAAATGGGGTTTCACTATGTTGCCCAGGCTGGTCTCGAACTCCTAGACTCCAGTGATCCTCTTGTCTCAGCCTCCCAAAGTGATGAGAACCAACCACGCTGGGCCCCTCTCGTCCCTTCTTAAGTCTCTGATTGAGACTCCCAAGAAGAACATCTGTGCCTCTGAGTTGGAGGGTGGGCAGGAGCTGATGGGAAGGGCTGGTGTGGGAAGGTCACATGCTGGTGGTGAAGTCAGCTGGTGGTGAAATCTCAGCTCTGGCCCTCAGGTCACCACGATGCCAGAATACCTACGGAAGCGCTTCGGTGGCACCAGAATCCCTATCATCCTCGCCGTACTCTACCTATTTATCTACATCTTCACCAAGATCTCGGTAAGGCAGGGACGCAGCCTGGGGGGAAGATAAGGCACAGGTCATTGCTCAGGAGCGTCTCCTCCCCATCCCCTTTCTCCTCTTTCGTAGGCTGCAGGGAGGTTAGAGGAAGAAGGGGTTGGGGGAAGGTAAGTGTGGACAGAGAGGATTCAGTGGCTCATGCCTATAATCTCAGCACATTGAGAGGCTGAGGCAGGTGTATCACTTGAGGTTAGGAGTTCGAGACAAGCTTGGCCAACATGGCAAAACCCCATCTCTGCCTAAAAATACAAAAATTAGCCAGGCGTGGTGGTGCAGACCTGTAGTCCCAGCTACTCCAGCTACTTGGGAGGCTGAGGCAGGAGAATTGCTTAAGCCCAGGAGGCGGAGGTTGCAGTGAGCTGAGATCACACCGCTGCACTCCAGCCTGGGCAACGGAGCAAGGCTCTGTCTCAGAAAAAAAAAAAAAAAAAAAAAAAAAAAAAAAAAAAAAACAGGAAAAAAAAAAAAAAAAAAAAAAAAAAAAAAAAAAGGAGAAAAGGTAGAGAAAAGGAGGAAGGACTTTCTCTCCTACTCCTGCCAAAGTTTCTTTGGCAACATCTCAAGATGGTGTGGGTTGCTCAATGGGACTCCAAGAACCCTGCCAACCCTTGGATAGGACTGTTGTCTTCCTCCTGTAATTAGATATTGATCAGCTATTTATTAGATGTGCTGATGGCTGATTGCTTCTGCCCCACCCTGACCTTTGGATGGGCAGATCTCCTAGGAAGTGGCAAAGAACAGGTGTATGGCAACCTCCAGACACTTACCCCACAGCAGAAGCTGTTTCCACTTCCAGCTGGGGAGAAGGGAGGAGCTTGTCCTATGGAAAGGGGTAAGGGGAGCAGAAGGGGTTCCATTGAATCCAAACAGTAAGTGACTCTACACCAGCTCCAGACTGCAGGACAGACACAGAAGCTCCTTTCTAGAATGTTCACTAGCAGTCTGGTGGGAAGCTGCAGTTGTGGGAAGCCTTCTAGGGGAAGTCACATCCCCAGAGGAACTTACCAGTTAGAGAAAGGGGATTGGCCCTCCAGAAGGATGCACCAGTACAAACGAAATCTGGGAGGCCCAGGTACACATGACTTGTTGGAGAAATGTAGGATATTGTTGGAGAAATTGGGGGATATTTCAAAGTCTGTGGAGGACTGGGAGTAAGAAGTGAGTATTTAGCCTTATTTATTTAGCCTTTATCTTGGGGGCAATGGGAGAGTCACTTAAGAGTTTGAATGGGGAGGAGAAGGATAATATGATCATGATGGTGTCTGAAGAAAGTTGCAGTGTGGAGGATGGAGTGTAAGAGGACCAAAGGCAGAAGCAAGAAGACCATTGAGGAGGCTGCTGCGTTAGCCCAGGGCGCGCAGGGCTCCGGCATAAGACCCCTGATCTGGGATGCGATGGATGAAGAAGGGACATGCATGACTCTTCTGTGTTTGTCAGAGTCTGGCTAGGCCCTGATCCCAGAGACCTGTGCCGCAAATGTCCATTAATTCATTCATCCATCAACTTCCTTTCTCCACAGGTAGACATGTATGCAGGTGCCATCTTTATCCAGGAGTCTTTGCACCTGGATCTGTACCTGGCCATAGTGGGGCTGTTAGCCATCACTGCTGTATACACAGTTGCTGGTAAGACTGAATGGAGGGTAACACCTGGCAGAGGCAGTGGGCAGGGGCTGTGGGCCACTCCATCTTCTCCTTGCCCATCTTCTGATGTTCCATGATGCTAAGACCCATTTATTCATTAAACGTCACTCCTTTACCCTAGATAAAAAGATTTCTCCTGACCATTATCCAAAGGAAGACGGCTGCCTGATAAGGAAAAGCATTTTAGGCCAGGCATGGTGGCTCATGCCTGTAATATCAGCACTTTGGGAGGCCAAGGCAAGTGGGTCTCTTGAGGTCAGGAATTCCAGACCAACAGGGCAAAACCCCATCTCTACTAAATGTGCAAAAATTAGCCGGATGTGGTGGTGGGCACCTGTAATGCCAGCTACTCAGGAGGCTGAGGCAGAAGAATTGCTTAAACCTGGGGGGCGGAGGTTGCAGTGAGCCAAGACCATGACATTGCCCTCCAGCCTGGGTGATAGAGTGAGACTTCATCTAAAAAAAAAAAGATAAAGCATTAAAAAAATACGCCACAATGGCATAATATTTTTCCCGATCATGTATTCCAGAGCTGTTTCTTGAGCACCTACTAACTGCTGAGCCATGTGCAGTCACAGGCACAATACAAGGCTGTGTAATAAACTACTTCGATCCTAAAGCCTGAGGGCAGATAACCTCATCTCTCCCGATTACACCTGTATCCTAGAAGAGTGCCTGGCACACAGTAGGGTCTTGAGAAGTACCTGTTTTTCAATATCCATTATCTTATCTTCCACTCTATGTTCACCCTTCTCTGCCTCCTCTTGGCATAATGTAACTCATTCCATATATATGTGTGTGTCTGTGTGTGCTTGTGTGTGTGTGTGCACGCACACAGACACACACACCTGGTGTTGATATATTATGTACCTTGTATCTATATATTATGTATTTACATATACTTGCATGCGTATGTGTATATACATTTCCAACTATGTGCCAGACATCATGCTAGGGAGTCAGGCACAGATGTAGACAAGACAAATATCTCTACTCCAGAGGAAATTAAGTGAGGATGAGAGACAAACAATGAACAGAGAAATCAATAAATAATGTCAGGCCAGGTGTGGTGGCTCATGCCTATAATATCAGCACTTTGGGAAGCCAAGGCAGGTGGATCACCTGAGGTCAGGAGTTGGAGACCAACCTAGTCAACATGGCAAAAACCCATCTCTGCTAAAAATAAAAAATAAAAAAAATAGCTGGGTGTGATGGTGCACGCCTATAATCCCAGCTACTCTGGAGGCTGAGGCAAGAGAATCACTTGAACCCAGGAGGTGGAGGTTGCAGTGAGCCAAGATCACACCACTGCACTCCAGCCTGGGTGACAGAGCGAAACTTCGTCTAAAAAAAAATAATTTAAAAAAAGGCTGTTCTGACTGCTGTAGATAGTATCTCATTGTGGTAGTGGTTTGTATTTTTCTTTTTCTTTCTTTTTCTCTCTTTCTTTCTTTCTTTTTTTTTTTTTTTTTTTTTTTTT